CTGAGATCAAGAGTCGTGTGCTCCACCGACCTAGTTAGCCAGTAGCCCTCCTCCCCTGGCGCCCCCGCCAGTGCTTATCTCTATCTTCGTGTCCATCACACTGGATTGTGATTGTCGGTGGCAGCTGCCCTCACCTCTCCGGGTTTTTGGCATTGCCCTTTTTAGATAATCACATAGAACAGGCCAGGCCTCCAGGCCACGTATTGTGGGAAGCCCAGCACATTTTCTCTTATGCCTGACGGCTCATCTGGCTCCGGGCACTGGGGATGCTGTGGCTCAACAGTGGGTGGTAAGTGTAGGAACCCACATCCCCGGCAGCAATGCATTTTCTCCAGTAGAGACTCACTTGCTCTTCCTACCTGTTTGTGCATCATGTCTGCGCCTCCTGGGCCCCGCCCGTGGCCCTGGAAGGGCCTGCACCGGGGCAGTGGAGGGTCCCCAAAGCACAGAAGTGCAGTCACCCCGCTTCCTGGGGGCTTAGGCCTGGAACTGGGCAGCCTCGCTTCAGCGGTGCTCCAGAAATAGGGGGGCCCAGCGCGCACGTGGGAGGGGGCTAGTCAGGAATGCTGGGGGCCGGGGTCAGGCCCAGGCCCAACCTTCCCGGCATTCGGAGAAAGCTGGGAGAGAGAGGCTGACGGAGCTGCGCCCCCCCCCGGCCTCCTCCTTCCGCCCGGAGTGCGGCAGCGCTGCTCGGATGGAGGGAGCGGTCCCGCAGCCTACGGTCCGCGGCTCCTTCGGGAAGACACCCCTGCACATCTGTTCACGGTGGTTTTCAGAACCGAAGCCGCAGACCAGAGACGGCGTGACCTGGGCAGAGCGCGAGGCAGCCGAGCCCCAGCAGCCCCGACCCCGGGCTCGGGTCCAGATGCCAGGCGGCAGTCCCCGAGCCTCTGCAAGACTGGACTCTCACTGGAGGGGACGTGGGGGGCGGCGCCCAGTCCGGAGGGGGCGTGGGGCGCGGTGCCCAGGTGAGGGGTGTGTCGGGGCGGTGCCCAGGTGGGAGGGGGACAGGCAGCGGCATCCACACCGGACGGGGCGTGGGGGGCGGCACTTAGGGTGGAGGGGGCGTGGGGGCGGCACCCAGGCTGAGGGGGGCGGCGCCCGGGCCGGGGTGGGGCGGAGGACAGGCGGGGACTGGGTTGGGGGGATTGGGGCGGCAGCGGAGCGAGGCTGGCGCGAAGGTGGGGGTACTGGCCGCACAGCCTGTGCTCACCTTCCTCCCTGCCCGTCCCTCCGGAGGTGTGTGGGCCCGGGCAGGTGGCCCCCTCCGGACCTGAGGACGCACGGCCCAGAACCGCTTCCCAGCGCCCCACGCAGCCAAAGGCAGGCTTCCGGTGCCTCCCCACTTCTTTCTGCGCGCTCCCCTCCCCCCTCCCTGCTTTAGACACTAAGGGACTGGGGCTGCCCCTGGACCGCACACCCCTCGGGAAATCTCCCGCAAAGGGCAGCTGCGGGGCGGAGACATCGACAGACACTTACAGTGGAAAGATGAATGCTTTTGAAAAAAGATAGGAGCCCCTCCATTCTCCAATCGCTGTGTGTGTGCGTGTGTGCATGTGTGCGTGTGCGTGCGTGTGCTCGTCTGTGCGTGTGTGCGGCTGGTTCTGTGCTGGGCACTGTTTGTTCTCCCTACAGTCGCACCACTTGGACTCAGCTGCTGGATCCTTGCCACCTGCCACGTGAATGTCCCCCGTCCAGGGAGCCCCCGATCCTTGAGGGACTAGAGCGTCCCCCTCAGCACCTGACCCGGGCCTTCGGGCTCGGCTCCACAGGCTGTCCTCCCTCGCCCACCTCACCCCGACACCGTAGTTCTCAGTATCAGGAAGGAGGGGAGCGCCAGGCTGTCCGCCCCTGATGTGTCTCTGACTCCCAGGTGCTGGCTGTCCGCAGGAGGTGGGCATTATATGTTTTCACTCATACTTTTTTTCTTTTCTTTTTCATGTTTATTTATTTATTTTGAGAGAGAGAGAGAGACAGAGCACAAAAAAGGGGGGGGTGCAGGGAGAGAGGGAGAGAGAATCCCAGGCAGGCTTTGTGCTTCCAGCACAGACCCAGATGTGGGTCTCCATCTCAAACACCGTGAGATCATGAAGCTTAGCGGACTGAGCCACCCAGGCACCCTGTTCTCACGTTCTCACTCTTCCTTGACCAGGGACCTTCCGTCTTGGCTTCATCCGGGTCCTATCGGTTGCCTCCCAGTCTTTACATCGGCCCCGGCCTCTGTTTTGACCTGCAGGCTGCCTGCTGATCTCTCAGGTTTCAGAGCAGGGAAGCGAATGGTTGGAGAAGGAGGGGAAGGAGACAGAAACAGAGGAGGGCAGAGGACAAGGCGTCTAGCTTTGGGGAAAGCAGGAGACAGGCCGAGGGGAGGAGGAGGTGGCTCACCCACGCAGGCTGCCTGTTTTCAGAATGGAAGAGCATGAGAGGGAACAAGGAGAGCCAGCTCCACAGGTCCCTGGTGAACACAGCCTCACCCCCCAGGACCCTGGCTAATGCTCTGGGACCCTGGCTGGCCCAGCAAGCTGTTGGCCATAGGGACGTGTGCAGATAGGTGTGTGCTTCCCAGGCCCTGGCCCTCTAGGTTTGTGAGTGAGGACAGACCATGGATTCGGGGTCCCTGAGTAGCCTTGCTGAAGCTTTTCCACTACAAAGGCTCTCCTTAGGTCTGCTAGAGCCCACACAGGAAGCACAGCACTGCTCCCTTCTGATTCCTAAAGCTCAGTTGATCCTTGTCCAGGAATCAGTGAGCAGGCCAGGAAGCCTGAAGGGCCTGAGCTGCAGTAAAGGGGGGTAACAGTGCCTCTCTTGGAGCGGCTGTGAGGATCAGAGAATTGAAAGCCACGGAGAATGGGGGCGCCTGGGTGGCTCAGTGGGTTCAGCGTCCGACTTCTGCTCAGGTCATGATCTCACGGTTCATGAGTTTGAGCCCCGAATCCAGCTCTCTGCTGTCAGTGCTGAGCCGGCTTTGGATTCTCTGACCCTCCTCAGCTTGTTCTTTGTTCCTTGCTTTCTCTAAAAAAATAAATAAACTCTCTTTTTTTTTTAAAAAATATTTTTATTTATTTCTAGGAGAGAGAGAGAGAGAGACCGCGTGAGCAGGGGAGGGTCAGAGAGAGAGGGAGTCACAGACTGAAGCAGGCTCCAGGCTCTGAGCTGGCAGTCAGCACAGAGCCCGACGCAGGGCTCGAACCCAGGAACCGTGAGATCATGACCTAAGTGAAAGTCGGACGCTCAACCGACTAAGCCACACAGGCGCCCCGTCTTTTTTTTTTTTTTTTTTTTAAAGCAAGGATTTGAAAGCTACTGAGAATGGCCAGGGCTGCTCAGTGAGGGTGGGTGATTATAAGTCTTAGTGTGAGACTCTGAGTGAAGATGGCCCCCAACGCCTGTGCTCCAGCCCCTCGCCCTGAGCGATGGGTGCACTTTCCAGGAAGGAAGTGGCAGGAGCAGATTCAGGCATCTACGAATGTGGTGGACGAATTGGCCTTTTCTCTCTTTCCCCAACACTCCAGACTCATTCTCGCCTCAGGATCTTTGCCTTTTGCTCACTTGGCTTCTTCCTGTTAGTCAGGTCTTAGCTCACTTGCCTGTGTCAGAGTTCACTCCACCACCGTGCCATTACCTCATTTTTCTCCACATAGCATTGTGTGAGCAAGAGCAGGTATCTTACCATCTATCCTGTTTACCAGCGCACCTTGGCTCTTATGGTGGAGATCACAGCAGCTCAACAAACATTTGTTGAGAGAATGAAAGAACAAGATACTAAAGCCTAAACAGAGTGACAAGAGTGGGGATGGAGAGGGGAGGGACTAAAGCAATATTAAGGAGGTAGGATCTTGGCCACTCAGTAGAAGAGGACATTAAGCATCTGGGTGAGTGGAGCGAACAGTCACTAAGCCCAGATTTACAGAGAAAGGAGCCTCACTCAGCCTGTTCCTCTCTTTTCTAGAGCACTTTGGTTACAGGAGTGTGGCTAACTCACTAAGGGAGTGTGGAAAGGCTTGACTCACTGCCTCTCCCTTGTCCCTTTTAAGCTGATCTTTGCATTTATACGATAGTAAAGTAATTGGACCTCCCTGTGAGAATCTAGGAGCACTTACCTGCCTAGTGACTGTGTGATTCCAGGGTTAGAAGGGGTGCTGGTGCTGGGTTGATACAGCTGAAGAGCACAGCAGTTCATAAGTGTGGGGTGGAGGAACGCCTCCTGGTGAATACTGCCACGGGGCCTCACTTGGGACATCCGCAGGCACCTGGTGGGGGGGGGGGGGCGGTGGTTTCTCCCCAGCTGGTGGCAGGCAAAGAAAGCTGAGCCTTGCCCACTGAATCAGCATGTGTCCTCCGGGCCGGCTGCTGAGTCAGGCCTGCATAGCTGGCGATGCAGCAGGATGAGGCTCAGGAGCGCTCTCTGACCTGGAAGTACTGCCCTTCAGGCGGGGGCTGGAGGTCGTGGCACTGTGGCCGGGGGTGTGGACTCTTGGGGGGTTGGCCGTGCAGCAGCAGGGGGAGCACGGCTGCCCTTGCAGGCACTAGCGGTGCAATTTGTGCGAGGCCTTTGGGGCTGCGGGAAGCGCCTGGAAACTCCTCTCGAGCTCTGATTCTTGAGGATCCGACGACCCCGGGGCGAAGGGAAAATGAGATGGGGACTCCGGCCAGGGCGTTGACCGAAGACTAGGTTTCCCTGGAGAAGGGAGCGAGGCATCCTGGCTTCGCCTAGCCCCTTAGGATCCCTTCCTTTGGAGGTTCCAGAGCGACTGAAACGCGCGCACATAAAACGCGTCAAGGGGGGGGGCATGGCACCCTGCGAACATCATTCCCGATACGGGAAAGCAGGAGGGCAGGGCCGGGGCGCAGTCGGAAGCGGCCGTCCGCCTGAACTTGTGCAGCGCCGGGTCCTCAGTTTCCCAGGCGGCGCCCCGCCCCGCCCCCCCGGCGGCGGGCGAGTGACGTCACGGGCTGCGCGCGGCATTGTGGGGCGGGAGCGCCGAGTCGGGGGAGGGACGCCGAGACGCCATTTTCGGCGGCGGGAGCGGCGGAGCCAGAGCAGAGCTGGAGCCGGAGAGCGCTGGGCGGCGGCTACGGGGAGGAGCCGCGGGGGACAGCGCTCGCGGGCGGCCGAGGATGCTGCGGGGCGGCCGCGCCAGCGCCCCTCGCTCGTGACCGCGGCGCCGCTCCTGAGGCAGCCGAGGCGGAGGGCCCCGCGCGTTCCTGCCCCGCGCACGCGCCCCGCGACCTCCGGGTGCTGACAGCGCGAGCGCGCGGCCCCGCGGGAGCAGCACGGTGAGTCTGCGGTCCCCTCCCCGGGCCCGGCCCTCGTCCGTGTGCCGTTTGGTCCTCACCCACGTCCCCTCCCCGGGCCGCGGTCCTCAGCCCCCCGCCCTCAGCCACATCCCCTTCAGCTCGTCTTCCCGGCCCCGGCCCCGCCCGGCCCCTCATCCCCGTCCACTGTCGTCCCCTCGCTGGTCCCTGCTCGGCGCCGCGGCCCGGGGTCCTCAGCCGCGTTCCGCGCCCGCCGGGACTTCGGCCCCGGCCACAGCCCCTTCCGCGTCTCGGTCTCCGGGGCAGGTCCCGGCCCCGCCCCGTGTGCGCATCCCCGGGGCCGGGCTCGGCCGGGCTGCGGGCGGGGGCGGCGGCTGCCGGCAGCAGCTGCGGACCCCCGGAGCCGCCCCCGGGAACGCGGCGCGCGGGGAGGGGCGGCCGGCCCGGCTCGCTTTGTCCGAGTCCTCCCTCTTCCTTCCGGCCCCCGCCCTCCCCGGCGGCACCGCCCTGGGCGGGCGCGCCTGTCACGCTCTCGGGCGACGGGCTGCCGGGCGGGTCGGGAGCGTGCGGGGTCCGTGTCCTGCACAGTGTCCCCTGGGCTGGCGTTGCTCTCCGTGCGAAACTTAGCAGCTCTGGGCCTGGAATACTTACGCCGTTGTCAAAATCTGGTGCACTTCTTTCCTTAAAAAAAAAAATTAAAAAAATAAAAACAAAGTGCCTGGTGGGCTGGGTGATCTTATAAGGTAAGATTTGTAGATCCAGGTAATTTTGTGATGGAACTATTGCTGCACATTCTTTTATTATTTAAACAACACATTAGGATTTTACATGTTACGCGTTTGATAAGGAGTACTTGCAAAAATGTTCTTAAAAAGTGTGAGAACAGAACATTTGAAATAAGCTATTAAAACTAGCATATAGAAGGGCAGTTCCCGATTCTTTGCATTAGTGAGATTCTAAAGGCTTTTTTTTTTTTTTTGGTACAGCATGACTAAGCCGTTGTTCAGAATCATTAGCTCAGAGTACATTGTAATAGTTCAGTGAAAAACCCATCAGGAATTTGGGAGACCTTCTTCAGTGTCATGATCTTATTACAGTCCTGGATTTACTTCTTTCAGGGGTTGTCAGTAAGCCTCAGTTAGGTTGCAAAATTTGATTCATTGTTCTGTTTCTTAAGAACATGTAAGAATACAATGATAATATTAAAAATGTCAGATTACGGGGAATTACCTGGGAAGCTAGGAAGCTAGGCGCCCTTAAGAGCCAGTTTCTCCAGGTCATCCAAGAATGCAACATCATGTTGCGGTGTTGCATGGCAGCCGGGTCATGCTCCAGGGTGTGGAGGACCCAGGCTGGTGGCTTCACCGTGACCTGCGGAAGTGCCTTGTAAAAACACTGGACAACACATGCTGAAGGTAGAAAGACAAACATGGGAATCAAGACGGTACCTCCAGGAAGGAGAATGGAGAAGATGCCACTGGGGAGGGGCACATAGTATCTTAAGTATTTTTAAATAAATAAAAGCTTAACTGTAGTTATTTAAAATTATACAGTAAAAAAATTAGACATTCTGAAGCATGCTTCACAACACTGAAAGGTAGGTAAGGCAATGTGTAACTTTCCGTATGGGACTGTAAAAGTTGATTAATTTGTAGGATTCATATTAACAGGGAAGCATGAGTGGAATATGATTAAGAAGCCAGGACTTTATGAAACACAGAAGTCATCAGTAATGTCTTAAACAGAAGTAGAGGCACATTTTAAGTGTCAAATTTCAGGACATAGAATAAAAATGATTAGCCTGTTAAATAACAAAAGCTTGGTCTTTTTTTTTTTTTTCCATTAAATCAATGAAACCAAGAGTTGGTTCTTTTTTCTTTTTAAAATTTTTTATGGGGCGCCTGGGTGGCTTAGTCGGCTAAGCGGCCGACCGGTTCAGGTCATGATCTAACGGTTTGTGGGTTCGAGCCCCGTGTCAGGCTCTGTGCTGACAGCTAGCTCAGAGCCTGGAGTCTGTTTCAGATGCTGTGTCTCCCTCTCTCTCTGACCCTCCCCTGCTCACACTGTCTCTCTGTCTCCAGAAAAAAAAATTTTTTTAATTTTTAAATGTTTATTTTTCAGAGAGAGACAGAACATGAGCAGGGGAGGGGCAGAGAGAAAGAGACACAGAATCGGAAGCAGGCTCCAGGCTCCGAGCTGCCAGCACAGAGCCTGACAACGGGGCTCGAACTCATGGACCATGAGGTCATGAGCCAAAGTTTGATGGTTAACCGTCTGAGCCACCCAGGCACCCCAAAAGCTTGTTCTTAAATGTCTGTCAAGAACCTGCTGGACACCTGGGTGGTTTAGTTGGTTAAACTTCTGACTTTGGCTCAGGTCATGATATTGCGGTTGGTGAGTTTGAGCCCCACATCTGTGCTGTCAGCCCAGAACCCGCTTTGGATCCTCTGTCCCCCCCCCCCCCCTTTCTGGCACTCTTTCTCTCAAAAATAAATAAACTTAAAGAAACAAACAACTGGATGACAGGTGCTGTGCTACGTATTGGGGAAATAGAGATAAAAGACAGTAAATGCTGTGCTGAGTGTCTTGCGAAGGTGACTCTGGGTAGGAGACTCAAAGAAAAGTACCCAATGCCAGGGCTGGGTTGGGTGGTGGCGGGCCTAGAGGCCAGAGGCCCTGAGGCGGTGTTGCTGTAGAGGGGACTAAAGTTGGGGCGGGCAGGGGTGGAAAGAGAAGGTCAGGGAAGGAGAGCAGGGAGGAGGATTGGGGGATTCTTAAGAGTGAGGTGACCCTTTCGGAAGCATAGGTAGTGTGGCGGGTGATTTGAACCAAGGTGAGCCTCTGTGGCTCCAGAGGGAGAGCTCCTGAACTAGGGCAGCGACAGTGGGAACAGTGACACAAATGGACTAGCGCTGGCTTCAAGGGTTCGAGTGGCCCTGACGTGGGAGTGACCAGACCAGAGTTAGGAGTCGGGCTGCAGTGGAAGAAGCAGAGCGGCTGTGCTCGCGGCCAGAGCGGGCTGCTGAGGCAGAGTTGGATGGTGTCAGTCCTCTGCCAAGTTTTGGCCAGTGTCCTGAAAGCACTCTGCCCCCGCGTCTTTCCTCTGTACTCCAGCTCTGGCCCTCACCTAAGCACCCCCAGGCTCCTGCCGAGCCTGCTCTTCAGCGTGTCCCTGTGGCCCCACTTCCCCGTGTCGCTTAGCACTTCTATTGTCCTTACAGTACGCTTTCATTTTATTTACCTTCTTTGTTTATTGTCTGTCCCTTTCGCTTCACATCCGCGATCTCCATAAAGGCAGGGGTTTTTTATAAGCACTTAATAGGGTTTATTGAAGGAATGCATCTAGAATTACTCCCCTGTCACTCACAGGAGGCTCACTGGCTGTGACACCCACCAAGATGGGGAAGATGAGAGGCGGACGAGATGGTGAGCTTGGTTTTGGATAGGTTACATCTGAAATGTTTGTGGGGTGCCCAAGTGGATAGTGGGCAGTTGGAGATTCAGGTTTGGAGTTCAAGACAAATATTTAGGCTGCAGTCAAAGATTTGGGGGCTTCTAGGAGGTTATCAGCGACCTTTTACATTTTTCCTGAGACTATTACCTCCCAGGGCAGGTGTGCTAATTCAGAAACGACCCGTGTGCTTTCTCCCAGGGCATCCTTGTTTCTTTCTGCCCTGAAGCCTCCCAATTAATATATTCTTCTGTCAAAATGAATTCAAGATTTTATTTTTGTCTTACTATTAAAAATTTTTTAAAAATATTTATATTTGAGGGGTGCCTGGGTGGCTTAGTCGGTTAAGCGTCCGACTTTCCGCTTAGGTCATGATCTCGCGGTTCATGGGTTCGAGCCCCGCGTCGGGCTCTGTGCTGACTGCTAGCTCAGAGCCTGGAGCCTGTTTCAGAGTCTGTGACTCCCTCTCTCTCTGACCCTCCCCTGCTCACGCTGTCTCTCTCTCTCTCCTAGAAAAAAAAAAATAAATAAAATATTTATATTTGAGAGAGAGTAAATGGGGGAGGGGCAGAGAGGGAGGGAGACAGAATCCCAAGCAGGTTCCAAGCTGTCAGCACAGAGCCCTATACGAACTCACAAACCACAAGATCATAACATGAGCTGAAATCAAGAATCAGACGCTTAGGCTTAAGCTGACTGAGCCACCCAAGTGTCCCCACCCCAATTTCTTTTTTTAATGTTTGTTTGTTTATGAGAGAGACAGCATGAGCGGGGGAGGGGCCGAGAGAGAGAGAGAGAGAGAGAGAGAGAGACAGACAGAATCCAAAGCAGCCTCCAGGCTCTGAGCTGTTAGCACAGCCTGATATGGAGCTTGAACCTATGAACCACGAGATCATGACCTGAGCCAAAGTCAGATATTCACTGACTGAGCCAACCCAGGCGCCCTAGTCTTAGCTAATTTTTAAAAATGCACTTATTTTTTTAAGTTTACTTATTTATTTATTTTGAGAGAGAGAGAATCTCAAGCAGGCTCCGCACCATCAGCACAGAGCCTCACAAACTGAGATCATGACCTGAGCCACAAGCAAGAGCCAGACATTTAACTGACTAAGCCACCCAGGCACCCCGTAAATCCACTCATTTTAATTAAAGTATAGCTGACGTACAGTATTAGTTTCAGGTGTACAATATAGTGATTCGATGGTTATAGACGTTACAAAATGCTCACCCTGATAAATGTAGTTACCGTCTGTCAACTTAAGAAGTTATGACACTATTATGTTTTGACTAAACTTTGAAGGGAGGTGAAAGCAGTTTGGATCTGTGCTTTTAAATATGCTTGGTGGTTGTCCATACTTAAAAAATAAAGCAGGCAGGTTAATATCAATAGAACAAGCATTTTAAGCCAAGTTAAGTGCATATGTAAAGTATAAGTTGTTTTCTTGGTTCTAAAATATTCCGGTTACCTCAGTTTAAACCTTGGATTGTTCCCTGATTGCATAAGGTGTAAATTTATGTCCCAGCCTCTCTGGAGTCCCTGTACCACTGCTAATAAAGCTGATGGCGGTGA